CGAGTGGAAGTTATTTGTCGATTGGCACATCGGATACAGAAAGGGGGTTGCCTTGGACTTTTGTCTGTTGAATTGTGCGAAGTAGACCTCGGCTCCACGTACTTCGACCCCGATTACTCCGTGCTTATCCTTCGTCCGTCATGTCACAAACGTTGTCAGAGCTAGAAACGATTATTCACAAACGATCACCAAAAATCAAATCTGATGACCGGCTGATTTGATAACTTGAGGATGAGGCCGTGACTGTGGATATCACATCAGAAACCCTCATGGCCTTAGGGTGGGGAATAGAGATACTTGAAGAAAAACTGGGCTTGACAGAATTCTTTATAATTTATTGTGACAACGTTTCATTTCAAGGGAAAAGAAATTGGACGGAAGGAATTTTTAAAGTAGTCTTACCGACAGTGAGTCGAGGACTTCGCACAATCCGACAGTCTTCACTCCTCTAAGGCAATCTTTCTTCAGTTTGCCGTGAGACCAATTCACTAATTACTTCCAACCAACTTTTCCTTCAAAATGAAACGTCATTACACGATATCAATGTTCATTTTTTCCATCAACTCTCACTTCAGATTTAACTTCATCGAGTGATGAGGATGAAAGGCAAACGTATACCATTAAACCTCGAGTGAAAATCCAAAGAATTATACCATCTTTGAGGCTCAAGTGTTAATAGTTCAGATGCTCCTCCAGAAAAGACAATGCAGGTTATATCTGAATCCCCAAAGATGAGTCTGAGGATATGAAGGCTGACTGCCTCGACCAATTTGCATTAAATCACTGAGGCGCAGACTCTGCGAGCATCCCACTGAAGGAACTATGAGTTCGTCTACTTCTTGCCTCCTTAGCTTGAGAATGATGCCATGACTTGTGATATGTCCGCTAGTGATTGTTGTCAGGTTAAGATGGATGTCTGTATTTGCCAGCAACTTTCATGCCCGGTTCGACGTAATCAAGTGACGAGGGTAATCAGCATACATGGCAAGAAAACATGAACTTGCGTCCTAGGAGGTTGCTTTGGTTGCAAGCCAG